TTCACAACCTGTATTTTCTTAGCAAAAAGTTTTGCGCAGAATGCAACTCTCTTATGCTTATGTTCATGAATTAAATACAATAACCTAAGTAATTTTAAATTGGTGTCAATACATTTTTTCAACAATATTTCCTTATAAAACTTCTAAGAATTGATTTTGATATCGGATACAATCTTGACAGCAATAACCAAGTTGTTGACTCCTTGTCTCAAAGAGGCTGAAAGAAGTTTCACCCATAAATGCTACAATAAATTTTGTCATTATTCTCCAAGCCACATCCTCAAACCAATCATGGACATATTTGGCCTTCTCTTCTATCACTTGCTTGTTATTAGAACACATTGAATGCAAATCAAACAAATGATAGATTTTCAACTATTGGCTCCACTTATTCATTAGAATTCTATTAAAAATCCTTATTATATTGTGAGAGATGGTTTGATTTTGCATAAAGGTTGAATTATTGTATTAGGATATTATAAAAAAAAACTATCATAATGACTAATTTTCATTATACTCTCATAGCTGGAATTGTCGATTTCAAAAGAACTCCTTTGAAATGATGCATGATTTTCTTGGCACAAAATAAAATATATTAAATTATTCTCTAAAATTTGATCCACTAATTAACACACAAAATTGGAATCTAAGAAAAAGTGTATTATTATAACCACTAAATGTTCCAAATGTTATATCGTAAGAGATTTCAATTGATTTCATAAATAGTTTTCTAAATTCCAAGGGTAAACCTTATGTCCTTGTTGTAGTAGATCGATTATCAAAGCATGCTTATTTTTTTTATTGGGATGGAAACTTGGGCTTCGATTGATTTACTATCAAAATCACACCATGGAAAATGAATCACACCAATTTGAAAAATCCAGAACAAACTATCGAACAGAAACACACAACAAAGCAATCCCAAAGAACACACCAAGAATTAACAAGAAAAAAACTCAAGAATGGTAAAAACCTATGGAGTCACTTCACACCAAAAATTTCACTATGAAGGGAGAAATGTACATGAATTTTCACCACTTAGATATTCTCTCTACACTAATAGAACTTACAACAACTTTGCTCCAAATTAACTTCTCATCGCACAAGAGAATTCACACATATCTAAATTCATCTCTCAAACATCATCGCACCACGCAAAATCTTTTTGAGAGTTCACCACACACTTAGGAGTTCTATTAATTTGTCGTGAAAAAAGCATTAAAACCCAAATGGTTTATAAACTAGTCCTGACATCTATGCATCGCTCCCGAACATTCTCTTTTCGCTCAGTTGGGTTAAAGTCATGAATCTAGATACTGACGTGCCCTTAAATGGGCACCTGGACATTACCATTGTTGGATTCAGGCAGAGAGGTGCCCAAAGTGGGCGCCTAGGCGCCACCTTCACTGGAACCAAGTGTTTTAGTGCCACTCAAATTCGGAGCCTGGGTGCCCCCTTGATCCTGATGGCTCTTGTGTGGCCTTGTAATCTGGCTTCATATCATAAAATCTCCCACTTAGAGACTAATTGCACCCAATTTTTCACCTCCAAATATCTATCAACATCTGTACCAGCTTCTTAGTTTTGTACCATAGTGTGGCTCACCAACGATCTCATCATTTCTGGACTCCAACTGAAGTCAAACATAACTCTAGTTTCTATATAGTCACCACCTTATTTAATATATTTGCAGCATTAAGTTGTGTTTTTTTTCAAGTATAATTGTTTGTCTTCTAGGAGAAAGTTAAAAAAGTGATACCTCATGTGAATATGGTTAGTCATGACATGAAAATTAGCATTCATAGTAAGATAAATATCACTCACACTGTCATAATGAAGCTTTCAACCTTTTTCTCCTTGCCCAGTTCCACCATAAAGCTATGGAGTTAAATCATCTCATTGTTAGCCTTGGTGAGAACAATATATTCAGCTTCATACTTAAAAGTATAGTAATCTTTTGCAGGCAGGAATCCCAACCCACCATTATGTTCTCTAAAGTGAGAATACACCCTGTTACACTCCTTTTAACATTCAAATCTTCTATCAATCTGAATCTACAAATCTCTATAGGTCAATCCCTGTACTTTAAAAACAACGTGTCATGTTTATTGCTCCTCTTAGATACCTGAGAATCCACTTCACCATCTCCAAACGTTGCTTCATAGGATTACCTATGTACCCGCTGACAACTCTCACTACATATTTATTGTTTTGTCTCACATATGATAACACCCATCACACTCCCAACAGCTGAAGTATCTCAAATTCTATTGATAATTGCTCCTTAAAGTCCTTAATTTTTTTCATATTTACCCTTACAATTAACATGTCATTCACTTTAAAAGGAACAAGATATAATAATTACGAAAGTCCTTCATGAAGCAATAGTGGTATGTCCAACACTCATGTACCTACTATCTGACATGAATCGTTCAACTCTCTTGTACCACTATGTTGGAGCCTACTTCAAGTCATAAAAGCTCTTCTTCAACCTGCAGACTAAATTTTATTTCCTTGGAACCTTTTAGCTTTGCGGGTGCTACATGTACAACTTCTCTTTCAGATTTTAATATAAGAAGGCTATCTATACATTCATCTGCTCCAGATATAGATCTTCATATACTATTAAGCTCAGCACAACTCTAACAGTTTTTATCTTCACCACAATATAAAAAATCTCTTTGTAGCCCATTTCTTCCTTCTATTGAAACCCTTTCATAACAAGTATTGCCTTATATTATCTTCTTTCATTTGACTCTTCTTTTATTCTATAGACCGAGTTATTGTGTATTAATATTTAATCATCTGGTAATACCTCTGGTGCTTAGGCGCGACCTTTTTTATTTCATCGGAGCTTAAGCGCCGGATCTGGCGCTTAGGCGCCAAAATACTTTTGCACCATTTTTTGCATTTTTGCTTCATATTTGATGTTTTTTTCACTCCTTTTGCCTTTTTTTCACTTTTTTAGTTGTACATGAAGAAAAAACACACAAATACCTTCCATTAAAGCACACTATCTTTAAAATATGCATAAAAATGTGTATAAAAGCACTATAAATTTTAGGTTTATCACATATACACAATCCTTACATAATTCTAAATTCACATATTTTTCAAACTCTGAAGCGTGTTCTTTTAAAGTAGGGACTTCATACTTTTCTTGATCATATGTTTAAACTTAAGGGGTCAACGTCCTACATCAATCTTGGTTTCAACTACATTAATAGATTTTGTCATCTTATTGAGTAAGTAAAGTGTGCCTTCAACGTTTTCTTGAGCCATCACCGTCACTCCCCTAATCGTCTTCCATGAATTCTATGTGAAAATAATCATTTACACCAACTTTGTTAGCTAACTCGTCGAGATTATATTCATCTTCGTATGTGCAACATTTTTTACTTTATTAAGCTTTCAAACTTTTTATTATACAACTTTGTATCAATATTATATTTTCCTACAATACAGCAAATTGTTATCCCCAAATAAATCCTCCCCATATCGCTCTAAGTTTAATTTTTGAACACCTCTTTATTGTGGCATGCATGAAAAAGGCACAGAAATCTGCTAAGTTTCAGTACTGATTAGGGATAAAACTAATGACAACCCTTGTAACATGTTATTACCTAGAACTACATTCATTATAGTAAGGCTACCACTATTAGCAATATATTTCTTAATATATATATATATATATATTCTGTTCAAAAATAAACAAATTGGCCTCGAGCAGACCATTTGTACAGTTGTTTCGACGCCTCAATAGTCAATATAATGTGCTAAAATGTTTTAAATCAAAGAAAAAATGTTTTTCACACTTGATGCCTTGTTTTCCGCCCACACTTTTTGATATCATTACTCTAATAAATGCTTTTCACACCAAAAATAAAGAGATCGCTTGGGATTGTTTTTTTCTATTTTAATCTTATTTATTAATTTATTTTATTTGAAATGAACTATATCTAACATATTATAATATTTTTTTAATTAAACACTCAAAATAAATTAAAAAATAAAAATACGTATTTGTAAAATAAAAAAATAAAAAGTAATTTCAAATAAATATTCAATAAATCACTAAAAATAAAAAATGAGTTTTCTAATTCCTCCATGAACTTTTATCGCTGATAATCATTTTGCCCCCACAACTTATTATTATCTGCTAACTGTCAAGTGTCAATTAAGAGAGTAAATTTAAGCTTCTGAAAATGTCAAAAAATAACTTTTGACCGTCTTCTTCTAAAAGGTATCTAAAAAGTAACGGAAATACATTTAAACTTTTATATCTGAAATTTCATTTAATAAAAAAATTACATATAAAATATATTTACTCAAATATTGAATGTTTTATTAAAATTACAAAATTTTTTTAAGAAAATATACGACATTTTGTCTCTACAAGATAATAGTTAAATTATTATCTCCCGAGGAAATTAACTTCTTACTATTTTTATAAACATTTAAAATTAATATTTGATATATTTACATATAATTTTAATGTGTCATAGAAAAATTTTATCATTTAGTCTCGAGGTATTTGTAAGTAAGAAATATTACAGATGTAAATTTAAGATCATCTGGGATATCAATTTCAGCAAATTTTTAGTCAAACTCGTCGTCTTAATAAGATGAGACAGATGATATCAAAATTGATATAATTTGAGTGGTCAAGTTTAAATCAAGCCATCAAAAATATTTTTGAGACTTAGAGTCATCAATTAAATAGACAAATAAACTACAAATTTGACATTTAGTAAAGTCTCAACAAGAGAAATCAAACATTAAATTATCACTCTATGATTATAAATTTTTAATGACTGTTTAAATTATAAAATAAACAAGTTCATTGCCGAATTAAATAAAAATTTCCAAAATTTATACTGGACCCTACTAATATTAAGTCCAATTAACTTATAGATGAACTAAACGTTACTGATCAGATCCCAAATGAGTATAAATCAAACACTTAAAATATATTTAAGAACTACTCAATACAACTTAACTTAAGATAATAAATTATTCTTCTGTATTGTGTGCTTAAATATAAAATTTCAATCAGAGAATTTGAATAAGGCCACGCTCATTCAATTTAGACACCATTAAACACTTGAAAATATTGTCGTGCAATCGAATCTTTTGATCTTAATTAAATCTGCCAAATGAAAATCAGCAAGCTCGAATTTTTATTCACGTTTTACAATCTCCACGGCTGTGATCGCCGAAGGCACCTTATCTTCCATCATCCTCACCACATCCGCCATCGATGGCCGCAAACTAGGATTCTCCCCAATACAAAGCGCTGAAATGGCCGCCATTACTTGGACTTCTCCTTCATCATACTCTCCGGCGAGGCGTCTGTCTGCAATCTGCGACACGTACCCACTGTCTGCCTGCCGGAGCACTTTACCCACCTCCGCCGCTAACACCCTCTCTGTCCTCGCATCGAATGCTTCCGCTCCGGTGATCATTACAAGCAGCAACACTCACTCCAAAGCTGTACACATCATCGCTCTTCTTAGACACCATCCCGGTCCGAATGTAGTTCGGGTCGATGTAACCCGGCGAACCGGTCATGGAGGCCGGCGGTCGGACGGCGGAGGAGAAACCCATGCACGCGCATCCGAAATCGCAGAGCTTGGGGCTTAGGTCGCCGTCGAGGAGGACGTTGGAGGCCTTGATGTCTCCATGAACAATCTGGAGCTCGCAGCCTTCGTGGAGGTAGTCGAGAGCTTGCGCGAGACGGTAAGCGATGGAAGTCCGCCGCGCCCATGGGAGCACGGAGCCTGAGTGGAGCTTCTCGTGCAGGCTTCCATTCGGGATGAATTCGAAAATCAGAACGCCTTGGTCATCTGCACACATGGTGTTTGACAAATTGCCCGTTTCAAAAATAACTTTAGAATTAGTTGAAGTTGCAGCACATACCCTGTTCGTCGCAGTAGCCGAGGAGGCGAACAATGTGGGGATGATGGAGGCGGAGGAGGATGTCGAGCTCCAATCGAAAGGCACGGTGGAGGCGTTCGCTGCTCTGGTGGAGCTTAACGCTGGCGGTGGTGGAGTCCTTCAGACGAGCGAAGTAGACCGTGCTGAATCCCCCTTTGCCGATTACATCCGAGGTGAAATTAGCTGTGGCTGATTCAACCTCCGGCCATGTAAAGCGTCTTGGTGACGATGCGACGATGTCATCCTTTGGGGTGGGAGGAGAGTTGTCCGACCCGTTTTTGGGCCCATGGAGGAACTGAGCGATGGTGGCTCCCTTCTCTGTATCGGGGCGGAGCATGCTTCTCCGGCGTAGGAGGAAGAAGCCGGCGAGGGAGGCAAGGAGGCAGGCGGCGGCCAAGGGGATTGTGATGGCGATGGCGGGGTGCATTGTTTTCTCTCTTTCTTTGTGCGGTGGTTCGGCGTTCGAAGAGGAGCTTTGTGAGGATGGAGGGCATATGAATTTATAATAGAATACGAATTTTTGCTTATGAAATTACTTTTTGTTTAATTTGTTTTTGTTAAGATAAATAGTTAAAGCGAAATTCATTTTAACCTGAAAAAAGAAAGTGAAATATACGGTAAGATGGCATGTATGTAAACATTGAAGATTAGTTGTTATACAAGTAAATAAACAAAAATTAAGTGGTATGTATGTAAATTTTTCATAAAAAAATTATTTTTAAATTTCTTCGAGGGGGTATAAATCTCTTGGAAAAGTAGTGAAAGTTTTATATCTGCAAGATTAGTTTGGTCGAATTTACACGACAAAATGTTGTAGGGTTTGTTTTCTAATTTTTCAACTTCTTGGTTAATGACTTGTCCGCTTCCACCGACATTGCAGAACTTCTCTAAAAAGGGGGGAAAAAAGTTGCCGTCTGGACAGTGGAGAGAAGTTTCGTCGTAAACTGAGGAATATCAATATTGTAATTTGGATAATTAAATATTGATGTAATTTTCTTTATATGCTTTACTTATTTACTTTCATTTTGTATTGAATTATATATTAATTTTGAAGTCTCCTTTTTTATAATCAATATTTTCAAATTAGTTAATGATGAGGATATATGACGCATATTTTAGAACTCTTATAAGTAATTCAATGAGAAGCATCTGATAGAACTATATTTTCAAAAATAAATTGAAAATAAAAGTTGTATTCTTTATATTGAATCCTTTTAGGATGTAAGATCTTGTATTGTTTGTGAGTTCATACACCGATAAAGATTCTGACTTTAGGAGGAATGTAGAAAATAAGGTGATGAATGACTTGTTAGAGCTCTCGTTTCTCAATCTATATTTTCCCAAGATCCCCGGGAAGCCAGGAATAGTTCAAATGAAGGATAACTACTCAAATATCAAAATTCATGATAAAATCCTCAACCCTTATTTTTCATTTTTATCAAATTCTTAATGATTTCATCGTGACACAGGTAGATGCATCAAATCAATGGTTCAAAAAATTACCTGGGTGTGTTTGTAAATATCAATGTTTTGGGTGCTCTGTATGTAATTATCCCTATTTTGCTGCAAAACCATTTTATAGTACTTCTCAGTTATAAGAACTTTGCTTGTGTTATTAGTTTATCACGAGGCTGATGATAGATAGAATTTCTCCCCTTCACGCAAATATTAAGTTTCATCAACACTCATATTAAAAAAAAATGCAAAAACAAGGAAAAAACACATGTTCGACACTTCTCTAAGCTGTTTATATCCATACTGCTATATTTATATATTTACATTTATAACACCATGCTGTAATGAATTTATGTATAAAAATGTGCATCTCAGTTATAAGAATTAGCATGTGATAATAATGATGTTTTTTATGTGACATTAAATATTTAAGTACCATGCATGAAAAAAAATTAAATTTTGGTTTTATTTATACAAACACATAAGACTTGAGTGGCGTGGGTGTAAATGCCCCAGTAATGAATTAAATTTGGAAGATTTACATGCATACCACTCAATTCTTGTGTATTTACATATCTAGCACCTAAACTTTAATTTTTACAAGCACGTCACCTTCCTGTTGCATGACAAGCTATATTTCACTTTTTAGAAATTACAATTATGGTATTTTTTTAAAGTGATATGAAAGATTTGGGTGGTATGAATGTAAAAGTTACTGTATAGGTGTTAGATATGTAATATATTAGAACTGGGAGTTACGTCTGAACTTTTAATATGCACAGAGCAATTGTTACTGCATGCCAGTTGACACTCACGTGGAATCTTTACATAAAATTGCCTCTGCCCTCTCGAAGTGTATATCTTTCAATATGATGATTTTAGTTTCAACATGTGTAGACTCTTGTGACATAAAACGGACGAGTAGAAAGGAAAAATTATTGGAAAATTTATAAATATACCTAAAAAAACTCTTATGTATTACATATGTAATATCTAAAATTTGATGTTTATTTTAATATCACTTTAATGTTAAAATCTTATGCATGAAATGTGCGTTTCACTATTTTGATGATGTTAGTGATAATGATTTAAGTGGCGCATGTAAATATGAAAATTTGGATGTAAGATATATGAATATATAAGAGTTGTGTGGTATATATGTAAATGCCCCTAAATTATTTGTCACTCATTTTCTCTCATCAATTAATCAATTTTGATAAGTTTCCTTGCAATTTTTTATTTTATTTGGTTTTAATTCTAACCAGACAAACGAGGCTCTGTAAACTGCCTTGGAATTGGGATGTTAACAATCTTCACATTTTTAATTCTAACCCCAATTAGGCTCGAAATAGGCTCCAATAGATTTAGTTTGGCCCAAAATGGGTTCCTTGCTCGTTATATTTCATTTCGAGTAGAGAATCCTAGAAATTGAATCGAGCTAAATCCGGCTCAAAATCAAGTAGAGAACCCTAATTTGGTTTAGTTTCTGCTAAAAAATGGCTCGATCCAGCTCAAAACTGAAACTAATTAGCTTAAATTGAGTTATTTGGATTAGTTTCAAGTCAAAATTGGCTCATGACTGGTTATATTCAATTTCACCTCGTAGTATTTTTTATATATAAAATTTATATATACAATGTAATTTGTTCATGTATGACTTAAATTTTGGCTCATAACTCTGTTTATTTATTAGAACAGGATATTTAACCATATTGGAGCTAAATTCACAGCCCTAGCTTGGGGCAGTCTGAAATTCGTCCCATTGTGGAAACAAAGTTGATTTGAGATGATGTCCCGATCGGCAACATCTATATCAGCATTTAATAATGATAAATGAAAATGGAAGGCGGAAAGTAACAGAAGTAATGAACATTCAAATAAAATCATTTAAGAAGACAACCACCAAACTAGATTCAAATGATTGCCCTCCCCAACACGACGAGTATATTTATAAGGTTGACAGGCAAATGTCCTTGGGGTATATTTACTATTTTAATTTAGTGAATTGCATAGCATTTTCTTCATTGCAAAATTCTTTTTTTTTTTTTTCTTCTGGGTACTAAAATATTAAAAATTATTTTAGTTTCAGTGTTTATGAAAAGTGTTAAATTAATTTTTTATTTTTTTCTTACTGATACTTAAATAATATTTTAAAGTATATATATATAT